CAAAAAACTGAGGTCAAACTCTGTGTCTGCCCGAACACTTGGCTGTTTCTGTGGATCGCTGAACACATCCTTTAGTTTTGGAGCTTCAAGAGGCGAATCCATGAAAGCATCAGGGACACCAGCACAGGCAGAAAGATCATCAGGTGCAGAAATGTCTGTCTCCTTCTCCTCCTTTGATGTAACAATATCTGAAGTCAGGGTGCCTTTAATTAAATCTACACCATCAAAATCTGGCACAGGAGGTAAATGAGCCTTCATCCATTCTTCAGTTTCTTCAAATTCATTCACTTGTCTTAAATCTCCAAGAACTTCAAAGGGGGATTCTGGTGACTCCTGATCAACAGAACCTCCTTTTTTTTGGACAGTCGGTGGAATTTTCTCAGTGGAAGATTTTTGGGTATCAGGGGGAGATTTCTCAGAGTGCCTATCTCTAAAATGAGAGAAACCATCTCTTCTAAAATCAGATTCCTTCTTTTTGGAAGCCAGAGCTTCCAGTGCCTTTATTCGCTCTGAAACAGGGGAGGTCTTTATTGGTGAATCTGGTTGTCCATCTGGCGGCCCGACTTCACTCCCATAATGATCAGGTGTGAATGAACCTGGTTGAGAAGGAAAGCGAAGTGATGTTGCTACACCTTCACAGGGCTTGTCAGAGCCCCAGATGACTCTTTTGTCTGCACCAACAAGCGTGAAGAACGACAGCGAAGAGAGAAAAGGGAAGGTCATATAAATACGACATTTAACTCCCATGCACTTCTAATAGTATTCAGCGAGGCCTTAATGTTGCAGCCCAAGCATTCATGCACTGCATCATGGAAATGTAAGGGTGACTCATATAATGGATGGGACTTTCACTTTTTACATGCTGCTCTGAACTATGCCACAGAAGTTGCCATTAACTAGTGCTCAGTATGGCAACTTAAATTATCTGAATGCCTAATGAAGTAGCAAAAGAAATAAAACCTCAATGGATAATAAATCACCATATGTGGCTATGGTGACTACACGTTGCAAGTTGTATAGCAAATGTATATGACTTGTTATAAACTTGCAGGCTTAAAAGTAGTTTCTTTTTGATAGCGTTTGGTATGATTATTAAATTAAATTATTCAGTCATTATTACATCTGAAAAGGTTTTGATCCTGCAAAATAAATGTGATAGCATTTGACTGTTTGACGTGTGGCACAATTGTACGGTCCTCTTTTGGTTACATGTGTGGTATGCAAGTCCCTTTTTCAGTTTTCTGAGGAAATTAAGCTAGTTGTGTCTCCATAAAAAAGTGGCAGTCCCTGGCAATAATACAGGTATAAAACATATATAAATAAAAAACAAAACAAAATAACTAAATAACTTCTGACACCTAATTGTCTAAATTCATATGACTATGTATGATAACTATGACTATGTAAGGTAACTTCAACAAAGAATACCATGGGATGATACAAATCTTATGTAAAAAAGGGATGGGCAATTAAAAAAAGACAAAAAGGTCAGAAAGATAATTGCCTGCACTTACTCTGAAAGGCCTTTTTGTATTGTGGAAAATGATGCATCATAACCCATTTAAAATATGCTCTGTAAAATAAAGGTTGATTGAAAATCAATTGTGCACAATGTTCCTGATCAGTCAAAATCGCAATTTACGCCCCCAGTTTATGATTTTAAAGTATTCTAGATTATTTATATTCACTGCTTACGAAAGATGTTGAGTTCAGCTGGACTATTTCTCAAATTGCAAAGTACTGCAGCAACAATTCCAAGCTTTCTAATTTAGCAGAATTTTGATTTCAAACAACATACTTAAAAAATATCCACTTCCCCAAAACTCAAGTGTTGCATTTACTGTTGTGGTCAGTTACTTGCTACATAATTAGTGTGGGTAACTGCCTATTATAACATCAGGAAAATTAGAGTTCTTAACCAACAATCACATGATCACTTGAATATCCAGCACCCCCCCAAAAAAACAACTGTCATTACCAACCTCCACCTCCGCAATCGTTCTCAAAATGGTATATATAAATTGACTAACTGTGTCTAGTTAATGCAAGGTTGAGATCCCCCGCCCACTTCAAGCAAACCTTTGTGTTGTCAGCATAATCCCATGACCTCGACCCTGTCGCGCATCTGTTTAGTCCCAGAATTTTGCAATGGCGCCTACCTAACTATCCACTTTGTCTTGGATAGCACTGCCACCACCCCTGTGCCACAATACAATGCCTTGTTCAAACTAGGCCACATGAATGGACTTTCCATCTTCCCAGCAGTGTTGTAATCTTGAACTCTGTACTTGTAAACAAATTCCAAAGTAGCCAGTGCACTGAGAATGCATCCACAGATGTTTGACCCATGGCTACTTGAGTAGAACCTAGACTACTTTAAACAAGATTATAATTCAAGTAGTGGCTTTTGGAGCATTGTTTATATATAGCAGTCAACAGGTTTGGCTATAATAGGTCACTAGATATGCGCCGTCTGCCAAATTAGGCCTTGGTGTCCTTCGATATCTGATTTATAAAATTAATGTGCTTTCTGTAGAAACTGAAGCTGTTGAATTATGTATGGTCCAGGTAACAAAAATATTGAAATGAACTTAGTGCCTATATCATAGGCACAGCTGCTGTTATTAGCCTGTATTCTGATTCATTTTATCAGAAAATATAGTGACCATAAAAAAAAGACCATCTGCAGTAACAGCTTGGTTCTGTGTATAGATTACTCCCTTCTTCCTTCTGTTGGTTGTGTGTCATTGTTTCTCCCTCTATAATTACAGGCAAGAAAACTAGTTATTCAGTGGGCAACTGAAGTGTCAGTAGTTACAAGTATTTAATGTATATACAAGTGAATTTTAGGTTTCAGCTGAAATGTGAACCATCCTGGCAGATGTAGAGTCAGCACTCAGAGATAGCAAAACTGAGAAAAGAACTGTGAGCAGATTCAGCTAGGCTAATTAAGAGTTCTTGCATGATTGCTCAAGAACACGAGCTGTGAAGGTATTACCTTAATATCTTCAATTAATAATCCCTTTGCCTCTTTTGTTAGTCTGTTGTCTCACGTACTATGTTATGTCCTTTGTCCTGTAAATGTGTTATTTTGTGTTGCAATAAAAAAAAAAAAACAAAAAATGCTGGATCACCATGGAACTAGTTCAATTTGTTTTTCCACAGAATTATTTATATATATACACTAAGCCTCATCAACGAAGGCATTTTTGTAATCTCAAACACCGACTTATGATTAAACCCTGTAACACGTAAGCCAAGTCCAATATTTCTGCTCAGATTCATGAGTCATAAGAGTTCAAATTCCACAGGGTGCAGTCAAGCACCCTCATTTCTCAGAGCGAATATGTTGGATGTTTGTGACATAAATGTGTGATAATAATGTGTAATTAAGAATACGTTATGGTTCATGTTATCTAACCTAACCTACATCTATCCTAATCTAACATGTGTATATCTATCCACACTTCTAACACTGATAAATGCCACAGCTCAAAAAGAATCTTAAAAAAAAAGCTAACCAAAGAAAACCTATGTATTTATACTTAAGCAAGGATGTGAGACATGCACAAAGCCATAAGCAGAGAGTGGGGTGTGGAGCGAGCAAGCAGCCACAGGCAATGGCAGGGCCAGGCCATCGGGCTGTGGATGGTCTCTCCAGTGCCACTCATCCTATGGGGCCCCGGTTGCTACTAGGGCTGATGGTGGCTCAGATACTAGGGCAGGAGGAAGGTAGGACCACCCCCCTGGGAAACCAACCTGATCCATTTTTAGGCTTCTGCTCTTGTGCGCACAATGTGAACTTCAACTTCTCTACTTTCTTAAAATAAGGTGGCAATCTTGGGATTATCTTGAACCTACAGTGTGTGCTGCTGACCTAAATAATACTTGCCAGTAGATGGTACAAACTGAAGTGGATCAGATTGCTAGCAGCTGTAGAGACAAGGTTTTACAGGTCTAATTCTTGGGGTATGTAAAGAAGATTCTGAAGATTGTTAAAAACAAGCAGCAGTGAGTTCTGAAATGGGACTGATTTTGATTTGTGATACTGGCTGCTGGCTACTGATTCAAACTGAAAAATCACCTGCAAAGGCAACTGAAGCAAATTACTGAAAATGTTCCGTGTGTAAATACCTGTATAAACTCTATATGTTGAGGATGTACTGCACAGACTATGGCTATGAATAGACTAATTTTCTGCAGCCCTAACACAAAGTTAAGGTTGGCTCTTTATGGCATGAGCTAGAAAGGTTTCATTTCAAGTTACAGTCAGGGGTTGGCAGCTGTCAAGAAAATTACCACATGTCATATGTCACTGAAAACAGGAGCTGTGCTGCACTGCTAACTCACAATTAGTGCAGTGACTGAGGGTCAGGAGTGTTGGAAATGGATGGGAAAGCATGAGAACATTTGTAGGAAGAAGGGCGGTTACAGGCCAGTGGAGCTAGGGAAGGGCTGGAGTTCATTATGCTAGTGGTTTGTTCTATTTTTACTGGACTGTTAAAGGCAGGAGAGGGGCACTAGAAAAAGAGGGATGAGGGAGAGCAGTACAGCAGCAGGCCAGCGTGAGAGTACAGGACAGAGGGAGCGAGCAGGCGAGCAGCGTAAGAGAACCATACACTTGCCTTGAGGAGACTGAATGAGAGATACAGGCGAAGAGGAAAGAAAGGAATCTGAAAAAGTAAAAAGGACAGAAGAATGGTCATCCTAGAAGAACTCCTATCTGCTGCATCCATTCAAATAAAGGTATACAAACCCAAAGTTAACTTATCCAGCTTTAAAAACTCTACATACTATAAAGTCAGAGATGCCACATGCATATACCGTTATGGTAGATCTACAATAAGAAACACATCAACTTATATTTGCTATACAGACGAGACCAAGACATCTAAGAAGCAGACAAAAGCATTTCTTACTTTGTTAAGAGCACCCAAACAAACATTCTTCTAATAAATTAGCTACAACTGAAA